ATCTGTTTCAGCAGCCAGGCCTGAGGACGGAATTTGAGCATATAAGGGACTGTTTGGATACTGGAATGATTGATAACCTCTGTATCCTTCAGAAATTTGTATGTGCGTGTGAGAATATAAGAGCTTTTAAAAGAGAATGAAACATATCTCAAAGCCCAGAGTCTAGTACTGTGCCCTCAGCTAACAGGCTCTTACTCAGAACCTCCTCAGGGAGGATATTACGACTTCAGGCAGTCAGTGTGGCAGGAACTGAGGAGTGCCTGGCTCACCTGAAAAACAGCATGGTGCCTTTCAGATGTGGGCTGGCATCCTAGCACTGAGCAGAGCCTGACTGGGCAGGCAGCCCGTCTGGCACATGCTTGTCCCTGGACCTTCTCCTAGCCCCAGGCAGCACCATCATCTGTTCCTTAACAGTGGGCCAAAGGTGCTAGCAACCATTCCGTAGCTGAAGCCTTGCTGCTTTTCCTGGAGAGTCTGCCAGAGCCTGTCATCTGTTACAGCACCTACCACAACTGCTTGGAGTGTTCTGGCAATTACACAGCCAGCAAACAGGTAAGGTGAAGCACTGAGCATCAGCATGCATAGTAGCTAGCCTTGGGCACATGAAGCCTGGCAGAACAAAATAGAACAGCCCCTCAACTGCGGTGGCTCAGAAAATTAATATCTTATATTCTCCTTCAGTGACTTGGAAGATTAACATCTTTCTTTCTCAAGCCTGGTCTTCCTCCCATGTCCCTTTTGCTTTTAATAGCATCACCCTTAATTCCAGTGACTCAACCCGAAACCTGAGTCATTTCTGATTCCTCCCTCTCCTCACCTCCCACATGCCCAGTCCCATTTATCTCTCACTTTTTTACTCTCCCATTGTCACTCTGCTCACTCGGTGCAGTGTTCGGTGTTAATGTGCTTCCTCTATTCTTCATTTTGCGTGCCACAAGTAGATTGTGGTGCCGTCTTGTTGAACAAAACCATGCTCACGCCGGGCGGTGGTGGCGCACGCCTTTAATCCCAGCACTCGGGAGGCAGAGGCAGGCGGATCTCTGTGAGTTTGAGGCCGGGCTGGACCGATAGCCTCCGAAACAAAACCCTGTCTCATAAAAACCAAAAAAAAAAAACCATGCTCACCTCTTTGTTCACTGTTTTTAATGATCCTTCCCCTTTCTTTCTCTTCGTCCTCTTCCTCCTCCTCCTTCCTCCTCCTTCTTCCTCTTTCTCCTTCCTCCTCCTCCTTCTTCCTCCTCCTTCTTCCTCTTTCTCTTCCTCCTCCTTCTTTTTTTTGAAACAGGGTCTCTCTGTATGACCAGTCTGGCCTAGAATTCAGTGTGGTCCAGATTGACCTCACATTCACTGTCCTTCTGCCTCAGCTTCCCAAGTGCTGAGATCACAAGTGTGCACCACCACACCCAACAATAATGTACAACAGTTGCCAGCAGTAAGGGTTCCAAAACCTCGCTCATATCCATTGAATGTGGGTATCTTCTGGAACCTACCTTTTCCCAGCTCCCTAGTTCATTCTGCTATGCAGATATGTGGGCTATTCATTATCCAGCCTGGATAACCCTTCTGGGCTTAGTGCCTATGCAGCCAGTATTTTCTTGCCAACACTGATGTCTCTTGTTCTCGCTGCTTATTATCTTGCTTTCTCTTGCATTCTATGCCCCCAATACCTTAATCCTCACTGCTACAAGTCTAGTTTTCTTATATTCAAGACCCAACTAAAATGTCTTAGTTCCCGTAAGTTGTCTGAGAACATGGAAGGTCTCAAAATTAGAAGTCTGACCACTAAATTCATGTAGCATTTGATCTTTGTGCATGTTTAATACTTATGCCAAGTGGTGAGTGATTATGTGTATTCTTACTCACATTTGTAAATCATGTTCCCAGTTCCAGGAATATAGCAGGCATCTTGTCAAGTCCTTGAGTGAGTAAAGCTGCAAACCCCACCTTTCTCTCTTTCAGGTTATTTCTACTCTCCCCACATTCCACAAAAACGTCTTCAACTACTTGATGGCGTTTTTGCAAGAATTGCTGAAAAATTCAGCAAAAAATCATTTGGATGAAAATATTCTAGGTAAGTAGCCAAGTGTCTAGGGCAAGCATCTCTACAGAAAAACAGAGGAAGGAAGTGGAATTAAAATGTGTTTTCTACACTCATCTCTCTTTTTCCTCAGATTTCCTTCCTTTTTTACCCAAGCTCTGAGGAAAGTGTTTGCTTTTTTTTTTTTTTAAACTTTTTTAAGGTCTGAGGAAAGTGTTTGCTTTTTTTTTTAAAACTTTTTTGTTTGTTTGTTTTGAGACAGGATTTCTCTGTGTAGCAGCCCTGGCTGTCCTGGAACTTCTTTGCAGACCAGACAGGTCTTGAAATCACAAGAGATCTGCCTGCCTCTGCCTCCGGAGGCTTCTTTTACTTTTTTAAAAGACAGAGTCAAGATATGTCTGTTGCCAAAGCTGGCCTCAAGCTCACCATATAGCTCATACTGGCCTTTGACTCAGGATCATTTTGCCTTGGTCACCTGAATGCTGCATATGTGCCACCATGCCCTATTCTGAACAAAGTTTATGTGCAAATAGTTTGCAGCTGGAAGTATGACTTGGTGATAGATCACTTGCCTAACATGTACGAGGCCCTGGATCTCCCTGTTTTGACTGGACTGGCTGACTGGCAAGTCCCCAGACTCCACCTCTCCACTTCCACATCACTGGGTGTGTATGCCAGTGTGCCTAGATTTTAAAAGGTGGGTGCTGGGGTCTGCACGCAGGTCCTCTCACGTTTGCATGGCAGGCACTATATTCAGCTGAACCACCCCAGTCCCTATTTATTTTTTGAGGCAGAGCCCCACTGCGTAGCTCAGACTGGCCTGGAACTGAGGAGTGGTAGGAATACAGACATCTATCACCACACCCAGCTGTTTGGTTTTTCAAGGAGAAAATAACCTGGGCGTAGTGGCACACACCTTTAATCCCAGGACTCAGGAGGCAGAAGCAGGGGGTCTCCTGAGTTTGAGGCAGCCAGGGTCTGCCTTTAAAAAATGTGGTGTGTGTGTGTGTGTGTGTGTGTGTGTGTGTGTGTGTGTGTGTGTGTGTGTGTGTGTGTTTGGGGTAGTCTATCTTGGGATAGTCTGGACTCTTTCCTAGCCACCCTAGTTGCTGATGGTGTTTTCTGTCTCTGTCATGCACAGCCAGTATATTTGGCAGCTTACTGCTCCGAAACCCAGCTGGTCGCCAAAAGCTTGACATGGTGGAGAAGAAGAAGGCCCAAGGGTTTATTCACCAATTCCTCTGCAGTCCAGTTTGAGCCTCAGTCCTCCTCCTGTTATACCCAAGGCAGCCACAGTTGTCTGTTCCACCTGTTCAGCTGAAGAGCTGCCCTAAAATGCTCTGAAGCCAGCTGGAAGCAAGATTGGCAGCCTCGACCTGCCCCTTAGCCATGCCATTGGCTAGTATTCCCATGAAGAGAAGACATGGGAGAAATCCACAATAATAGAACTGACATTCAGTGTTCAACTTTAGTTATTTAACACAAATAGATCTCTATTCATTTATATTTTTAAAAAAATTTAAGTAACTGTACTTTGCCTTACTCAAACTGCCTCCAGGAAATACAGTCAGTGAGTTCCCTGTATCCCTGACTGAGCATCTCATAATTAGATATTTGGACTAACGGAAGTCCTTGAAGGAGAATGAGTTGAATAGCAGGAATTTGATTGGATGTTCCTGGATAAACAAGTTTTAGCCATTCCAGATGCTTCCACTGTCCAATCTGAGGACATGTATATACATGGGGGCAACTCTGTCCCCTTTCTACTCAGCTCTGAGGCCTCTCAATGGCCCCAGAAGCACAGAAGGAAGGAGGCTCTGGTAAACAAGTGGAATTTTGTAGGCCAGACAGTCCTCCCATCTGTATATAATGCATCCCCTCTCATATGTGTAATATATTTTAATGATAAATGTATTTTTTAACAGTCGTGATTGTATGTTTTTTTGTTTTCTTTGTTGTTAATGTGGGGGGGGGTGTTGGTGGTGTTATATGCATGTATGATTGCTGGTGCCAGGAGAGGCCATAGATCTTTGTTAAGATGAAATTACATGCGGTTGTGAGTCACCCAGTGTGGGTTCTGGGAATTGAACTCTGGTCTTCAAGAGCAGTGGATGGATGGCCTTAACCATTGAGTCTACTCTTCTCTCCTCATTCCCCTCTCTTAAAACATGATAGTTGTTGGCAGATGGGCCTTTGTGGCTTAAGCACAGAAGCAACTGGCCAGGGGTCAAAGAGACATGTGTGGCAGTCTAGTGTGTGAGTCACTATTCAATATTACCCAAGAAGAGGGAATGGCACAGCAGTTTGGTTTGAACCCTGGTCTAGCCTATAAGGGCACTGCTCCAATCTAAACGTTCCAGAGAAGTCCTCTTGGGGAAAATAGGCAGTGGCTTATGCGAGGGTCTAATAATTATATTTACAGGACTAGAGTAGAAGTACGCCCAAAATCGCTCTTGGCTTTAGAATGCTGCTACCAGGTAGTGCTTTCAAGGGTCTATACGGATGAGTGTTAACAGCTGAAGAGGGGATTGGCCAGTAGGTGGCGCTGGCCCTTCCGAGCGCGAAAACCCTCCCAAGGACAGGAAAGTTGGGACTGCCAGCGCCGGCGGACGTCAGAACGGGAAGAGTCTGGAGCACTCTGCTCTGCTTTCGGGTCCTGGGACCCGAGCCAGGTCAACTACGCTGCGTTATGAGGTCGCAGTGGAGGGAGAAGAGGGATATCGCGGGCTGGCCTACGCATCTGAAAAGCGGCGGCTTACTGCACTCTTCCCGCTGCAGCTATGGGCACAGCCCGGGCTCAGGACACCTCGCGTTCGTGGCTGGTGTCGCGGGTTAACCCTCACCCGAGACCGCACGCTCCCTACCGTCCGCTTCCCCAAGCCAAACGGGAGCTCCGGACGCCGCTCGCCCCGCCCACAGTCCCCCCCGGAGGCGCGGTCAAAAGCCAATCAGAAGCTGCAGCGGGCGCATGGACCCGCCGGCCTCTCCTTCCTCCGGAAAGCGGAAGCGGAAGTGACGCGAGGGACAGGTGGGGGCAATCATGGTGCCGCTGGGGAGGGGAGAAGCTGCCGCTGCCGCCGTTGCCGGGAGCCGCGGAGGTAAAAGCAGAAGCTGGACTTGGCTGGGGCTGGGACTCCCCGGGGGGCGCGGGACTTGGGCTCCCTGCGGAAGCCGATCCCGGTAGAGACTTCATTCCACTCTCCAGAGGGACCCCACCCCTCCTCCGTTTCCATGGGGATGGGTATCCAGCCCCCCTTTTCTGTTTCCATGGAGACCCGGACCCTGCCCCTCTTCGCCCAGCTCATAGCCCCCAGCCTGCCTCGGGGTTTTTCTATGTAGCCCTGGACTGGGGATGCCTTCCCGGTCAGGTTCCTTCTGCCATTCTCTCAGGGGTGCTCGGCTCGCACTCCCCGTCCACACTCATACCTCCTGATCTTGTTTGTTACGGAAAGTTGGTCTCCGCGCTGCCGCTGAAGGTGCCGGGACAGCCCACCCGGAGCTCTCGGTATTCTTATCTCTCCTCTCAGATACTGAGAAACGTGCATTTCTAGGGTTGCGTAAGCAAAGGTTCGGGCTGGTTCCTCTCAGATTAGATCCCTTGACCTGTGTCTGTCTGGTAACTACCTCGCCTTGTCGCTCTCACTGGTAAAGGCTCACTTGCAGAAGAGAAAGTGCAGAACCAGGCTGAAAATCAAGTGATGTGCTGCTTATTTTAAATTCTTTTGTATCTGCCAAACCCACGTTTATAGAACCTGTGTGTTTTCGGGTGAAGGAAGAATCACCATTCCAGACCATGAAAGCTTCAAATTTGGTAATTTCCTCAAGAGACTGTATCTTTGAAAAAAAAAAAACAACTTACCTGCTTGCCTGTCATTCATTTTGTCGATGTTTGCTGAGTTCCTCGTGTCAGTATGCTGTGCTAGGGACAGCCTTTCGGGGCAGAAAACCTAGTCTCGATGTATAGGCATACTCTCTGGTCCTTGTCATGTTTTAGAATATAAGTAATTAAAATGCTATGCTTTGTTAGGGATTAACTCCTCCACCCCATGTGTTCTAGAAACGACAGAAGGAATCCATACTTTCTACTGTCTGACAGGATTGTGCTTTACAGGTAGTTTCTCTTTCATTCCTCATGAGACAGGAACACTTAGTCTCGATGTAGAAAGACAAGGCACAACCAGGTTGGCCAGGCAGTAAAGGGCAAACCAGGAATTGTAGGTGATTATGTTCAAAGTGTTGTTGCTTCACCATCAACTACAGGAGGCTGTGTACTGCCTCACAGTGTAATTGAGGGAGGGTGTTTGAATGAGAGTGCCTCTCTTAAGGTTTATAACCACTGTCCCTTGAAGCAACCGCCTGTTTGCTCTTTTATCCTTATTAGGTGCATACTCATCTTTAAGTGTGTGACAGTAAATCACACCTAGAAGATCTTGTGAACTTCTAACTTTGAATTTTTGAAGAAAAATGTTATATTGCTTTCCCTTAACAGTGACTGATTTTGCCAATTTTTAAATATTTCCAAGGAAGATAATTTTTCTTTTTTGCTTTGGTTCTTTTTTTTTTTTTTTCTTTGAGATTCTCACTGTGTATCCCTGGTCCACATGGAAGGAACGGAGATCCACCTTCCTCTACCTGCCCGGTGCTGGGATTAAAGGCGTGCACCACTGTGCCTACGCCTGGATTACTTATCTTTTTTGTTTTGAGACAGGGTCTTACCATGTAACATGGTTGGCCTGGAACTCGATATGAAGAGCATGCTGGCCTTGAACTCAACAGAGGTCAGCCTGCTTCTGCCTTGCAAGGTCTGGGATTAAAGCTTTGGTTTGCCTTTAAAATGAGGGACAGTCGCCAGGCGTTGGTGGCGCACGCCTTTAATCCCAGCACTCGGGAGGCAGAGGCAGGTGGATCTCTGTAAGTTCGAGACCAGCCTGGACTACCAAGCAAGTTCCAGGACAGCCTCCAAAGCCACAGAGAAACCCTGTCTCAAAAAACCAAAAAATAAGATAAAATAAAATAAAATGAGGGACAGTGATCACTACGGTGGTTAGGAAGTAGTTGAGTCTCATGCAATTGCTCTAACTGTGGTGTTGTCTGTTGCAGAAAGGCCATTACCTTTCCATTTCTCACAATTGGGCTGAGCACAACTGAACCATGGGGGAACACAGTCCAGACGACAATATCATCTTCTTTAAGGGAGAGGAAGATGACCTAACCCCGGATGACAAGATGCTCAGGTTTGTGGATGACAACGGACTGGTGCCTTCCTCATCTGGAACTGTTTATGATAGGACCACTGTTCTTATAGAGCAGGACCCTGGCACTTTGGAGGATGAAGATGACGATGGACAGTGTGGAGAACACTTGCCTTTTCTAGTGGAAGGTGAAGAGGGCTTCCTAATAGATCAGGAAGCAATGTCCCAGGGTTATGTACAACACATTATCTCACCCGATCAGATTCATTTGACTATAAACCCCGGTTCCACACCCATGCCAAGAAACATCGAAGGTGCAACCCTTACTCTGCAGTCGGAATGTCCAGAAACGAAACGGAAAGAAGTAAGTAAAGCAGCAGATGAGGGCCCAGTGTGGCCGTGGGGCAGCTCCTTATGCAGCGTGCTGGCAGTTTTAACTGGGATTAAAGGGATCCTGGGCATAGAGCCTGTGGTGGTAGTCTTGCCTCTCAACAACACATCTGTGACCTGTTTTGTTGTGACTGCTTTTTAGAACTGTTGAATTGTATGGCCACATTGTAACTGAGGAATGCTACATTGTAATATCTCAGATTTTCCTCTCCAAATCATAAATAAAGTAGAAGTTTCACCAAAGTGAATTCATGTTTATACTATGAAAGTAACAGCATGGCTCCTCTGATATCAGAGTGACTAGATTTGTGTGTAATAACTAGAACTGGATATAAATTATTTGTTTTGGAGATGCTTGTGACTTTATTAATTTAGTGAATATTTAATGGATAGTAATGGGTAGTTTCTGTCATTCAGGCCAGAGAACACAAGTGAGACCAGGTTAGCTGAAAGTTGTCACGTTCATATTCAGATACTATGGATGAAGTAATGACTTTCAGGATTTGGAAACTGTAAAGCATTTTTTAAATTGTAGTGGTGAATTTGAATGAAATAAATGATATGGCTTAAAGGTAGTGAGTGGCAAACATTATTCAGGAACAAGTGCAAGTTAATTTGAAAAAACAGGTCCCTGGGATTACTGTGCTGAGGACTCAATGTCAGATACTACCAAGCAGAAATAGGCTTAATTTCTGGAGGAAATGTTTTCTTTTTTTTGTTGTTGTAGTGAAGCTTTGAAATTACATACAGCTTGTATAGATGACTTAATCATGACATTTGGCTTTTCCTTTATAACTAAAGGGTGGAATGCCTGCCTAGCCTATATGAGACTTTGATCTCTAGTATTGCAAATAAATGAATGACTTATAAATAAATATCTTAGAGCTGTGAATATGTTAGAGGAAACATCATTCCCTACCTCCCAGTGGACACGGTAATGTTTGAAACATCTCTGACATCTGTTTGATCTGTACTTGAATACTTCTAGAATGGTAAGAGCACAGGCTTTCGTAGCTCAGTCCAGGACGCTTGTTGGCCTGCTCTGATTGCTAGGAGGCTTTTGCTTGTATGGGACTCAAGCCTGTCTTTGTGTCATGCTGCTCCCAGCCTCCAGCTCTGTCTCCCTGAGACCCCTGCTTCTGTGGGACAGCCTGCACATCTTTAATGGTCCCGTCATGCGCTTTGGTACAAGCTAGCCACCTACACTCAAATATTTTTCTGATGGCATCCACTCCCCCATCTTTCATGAGTCTGATTGACTTTAATTGAAGGAATTCCAGTTTTCTAAAGTTCTTTTAAAATCCAGAGTTGAGCATAATGTCACAAGAGTGATTCAGCAGTGCTAGTCGTGTGGCTCTTATCTATGTCTTCATCTGGACACTGTACTATAATGGCCATGTCATCTGTGTTTTATTATCAACATCTCACCGTTGCCTTGTACTTAGAAACCTCTAGAATAGTGATTCTCAACCAGGGGCAGGTTTGCCCCCCAGGAGACATTTGGTTATCATACTGGGGAGGTGCTAACTGGAATTTTGTAGGTAGGGCTAATGATGCTGTTAGATATTTTATAATGTACAGGACAGCCTCTGACAACAAATAATTACCCAGGGCTTGGATGGAGGAACCCTGTTCTGCATTATCATGAGGACAGCTGTCAAGTTTTGTTCTGGTGAAAGTAGCCAGGCTTGTAAGCCTTTGGAGTGTCTCCATACTGGAATTTTCTTGTTGGTTTCAACCCAGTATGTGAGCTTGTGTGGGTTCATCTGCCTTCAACAGACTGCTATTTATTGTTGCTGCTGTTCATTTTGAGGTGTTCCCAGGTAACCCAAGCTGGCCTCTGCCTTGCTATGTAGTTAAGGTTGACCTTGAACTCCAGTTCTCCAGCCTGCCCTCTCCAGTGCTAGGATGACAAGCATGTACCTGGCCTCACAAACATTTGTCAAGCAAGGTGCTGTGATTGCAGATGGCGATTTGCAAAATAGAGGTAGAAATACCTGATGGCAGTAATGTGAGCACTGAGGATAAAGGGTAAGTGTAAAGGGTACCAGTGCTGTGTTTGGGAACACAAGGAGCTCACCTGTGTGCTTACGTGAGTCTTCAAGGTGACCTTAAAAATGCCTCAGTTCATAAGAAAAGCAGGGCAGGAGAATTTCTGAGAGATGGGTACAATGTAAACCAAGAGAAGGAGGTAGAAACCAGAGGCCCCCTCTTTAGGGAGTGGCCAGCTATCCCCCTAAAACAGTTAGTGTGGGTTTTTTTATCTTTTGAAACAGATTTGTACTGTGCAGCCCAAGCTTTTCTCAAAGTGGTGATCCTCCTGCCTCTCTAGTGCTAGGATTACAGGCATATACCACACATCTCCAGTACATTTTCTGTAAAGGGCTAAATAGTAAATGTTCTTTTCCTTACAGACTATGTAGTCTTTGTTAACAATCAGCCAACTCTTTGATTGTAATACAAAATCAGTTGTAGACAATGAACGTGTGGGCTGGGGTTAAAGCTTAGTCTGGATCTCAGGCCACAAGGCCCTGGGTTCTAATCCCAGAACCACAGTAAAGAAAAAAGATAATAGGTAAATAAGCATGCTGGCTAGAATTGACTTAGGGGCTGTAGTGAGTGTCAGCCCCTAAAATCCAGGGAGTAGCAGGAGATAAGGATAGGAAGAGAGCCCCCCTGAGTGTTTGTGATGTTTTAGAAGCAGTAGGAGACTTGCAGACTTGGGAGCCAGGAGTAATGTGACTAGGGGAGCGTTTTAGAGCCTAGTGTAGTGGTGCACATCTTTGACCCCAGCACTTAAGAGGCAGAGGCAGGTGGATCTCTGTGAGTTTGAGGCCAGTCTGATTTACATAGTTCCAGGGCAGCCAGAACTATGTAGTGAGACCCTGTCTTAAAAAAACAAAACAAAAGAGTGCTTTAGAAGGGATGTCCTGGCAGCAGCAGGTAGCTAGGGGACAAAGGAAAGAGATGGCCTGCTAGAAGACACTTGAGTTTCATTTTACTGTTGCAGGGGAGAATCTGAGACCCAAGGAACTTTGTGTACTGTTGGAATTTGCATAATGAGCTGAGTTGAATGTGAGTCAAATGTTTTGACTCACATTCATTGAAAAGATTTGTTTAGGCCAGGTGGTTGTGGTGCGCACCTTTGATTTCAGCACTTGGGAGGCAGAGGCGGGTGGATCTCTGAGTTCAAGGCCAGCCTGGTTTACAGAGGGAGTTCAGGAGAGCCAGGGCTACACAAAGAAACCCTGTCTCGAAATCTTCCCTTCCCGCACCCCCCCCCCCAAAAAAAAGGAAAAAAAAAGAGCTTTGTCTAGGTCTAGGCATGGTGGTTGCACACCTTTCACACCAGCACTCAGGAGGCAGAATCAAGTGGATCTTAGTTCAAGGCCAGCTAGGGCTATACAGTAAGATCCTTCCTCAAAACAAAAGATAGGTTTTTCTCAATGTGTTGTGTTACTGCTGGATGATGAGTGGGTAAATATTTAGAGAGTCTATCAGTCATGTTCAGGCTGCATGCTAAAGATAAAGTGACTAGCTTTGCCTTCTTTCTACCCCCTACTTCCGGACTCTAAATGGTGAGTCTATTAACAAGAATTGGCACAAGAGGAAAGTTGGTGGGGAAATGAGCACATTTGGTTGGTGTGTACTGAAAGTGTAGTCCTTGGGCGTAAGGAGCACTAGTTGAAACCCATTGGAAATGTGGGTCTGAGGTCAAGAAAACGACACAGATCCTAGATGCCTTCAGGGTGGCAGTCAAACAAGGAAGACAGGGCCTGGAGAGAAAAAGGGAGCCAGAGAAGAAGCAGGTCAGGAGAGGGTGGAATGTGCTGTTCCGGCCTCTGGGTCAGGAAGGCTGACTTCCTGTGTGACCTGGAAGAGGGACCAAGGAGGAGCTGGAGAAAACACTAGTTCTTCAGCTGAGCCCTGGGCACAGAGTGTATGAGGTGGAAGCAAGCTGGGACGAGAGAGCAGGAAGTGTGAAGTTTCATTTTGTTTTTAAAGTTTGATATTCGGAAGAAAAACCATTGAGGCAGTAGTGGCAGCTCAGGGACGTTGAAACTTGGGAGCTTAGAAAGTTAGAGCTCATGGCTTTCAGTCCCAGCACTGGGGAAGCAGAGGTAGATGGAGTAACAGGCCAGCTAGGGCTACATAGTAAGAACCCATTTCTAAATTAATTCATTAAAGCCTCAAAAGTTTTGGCATAGTTTAGAACCTAGCTTTAGGCCAGCCTCAGTTAATGATTACTGTATGAGTGTTCATGAGCAAATGTTTGAGAAATGTTAAGTAAAATCAAACTGTTTCAGAGCTTATCAGGCAGGACCTTTTGGCTTGCTAATAACTAAGGAAGAAGAAGATCAGAATTTTCTAAATGCTGTAAGCTTATGCTATAAACCATTTTCCACATATTGGTAGAGCATGGTTTGGGAAATGCTGATCTAGGTAGGAGAGAGATAGGAGGGAGAATGGGATTGCGCAATCTGATATTAGCTGTCACTTTCTTGCTTTGTGCTCCTTACCTATGAGTTGCTTCTGTTTGCAAGCCTGGCTTGCCCCATTTGTTTCTTCAGGCCATTTAATTGCGAACAGGGTCAAGGATGTGTAAGCTCTTTGTCGAGTGTACTATGGGTTTATCTCATAGGTTCTTCCCTCCCTCTTCAGCTTTTCCATCCTTTAGGTAACTTCTGTGTAAAAGAGTGTATACGCTAGACTTATTTATTTCCTGAATTAGGTTTTAACTGCAGCCGAGGCTGGCTTTAGACTCACAGCAGTCTCTCGAGGTCTAAGATTAGGAATGGGAGCCACTGCCCCAGTCTTAAACAGGTATTAGGCTCAGTAGGTTTGGGGCTGCGATGGGGACCAGGAAGAAGCAGCCACAAGCCCTAGTCTTCGGAGGCCAGAGATTCAGGAGGCTTGCCTTCCAGAAGCACACTCTTGCCTCAGACGTTGATTGACAGTGATTTTATTTTGGCT